CAGAAACTATTTTCTTCCAGACACAATAAAGAGGACTTTGGTTTGGTTTTAATTAAAGAGACCGGATCCTAACCAGAAGAAGAATCCTTACCTCCTGTGATATACTTTGATCTCACCTTTGATGCTAACGGGAAAGAAACAACTTTGACTTTCTAGTTAGCATCAGCAGTATCATTCCACTCACATCAGCGTCATCCACCCAGAGAGTAGGATATGAGCAGGCATCACGTCAGTCAGGGTTAAACCTGGTCTGAGTCACCATATCATGCCAGCAGTCTAACATAAGAATCAGTCATACCGTCAGCATTACCTGGAAAAGAGCAATGCTGACTTTCTGCTTAGGAGTAGTTTTCAAGCAGATGACTTCTGGCACTGAAACCAATATAAAAGTAAATATAATATAAACGGTATAAACAGTAAGCATTAAAGGGTTTTCTTCCCCAAAATAAGTAGATGCAACTATCAGCTATTTTTACTGCTCCTTAAAAACTATTTCTTTTTTACTTAAACTGGCTTGAACCTACAAGGGAGATGGCATTAAAACAAATGTAAGAAAATCCGTAGGTTTTACTATGGCTTTATGGAATCAATCCCATTCTCTTCCATCTTAGATGAGACTAAGTAGAAATAAAACCAGAGCAAAATCAAGCAGAACTGTACACCTCCACCCTCTCTTGTATAATACACAACTTCTATTTGGCAGCTTTGGATTCTGCTATCTTATGGTAGAAATGTCAACCTTTCAAAGTGCCCAAGATCTATCTATCTATATATGATTATCATTACGTGTACAAGGGTGAAAAAAAAAGTTCTTTCTCCTTCACATTATTCATTTTGGCTAAAGCTGTTGTCCTCTTACCTAGCAGAAAGGGAGTGTATTTGCTCATTTTATCACATAGTCATAAGCCAGCCAAACACTAGCTGAAACAGACTGGTATATTTTGGATCTCTGCAGTCTTCAGTTAGCATATCCAACTAACTTTTCAGTAAATACAGCCAAACTGGAAATTAGAAACAAAAAGCAAGAGACAGAAACCTGTTCCTCACTTGCATGCACCCCCTTCATTAAGCTAACACCATGACCAACAGCTGCAAGCGCTGAATGATCATTAACTTTCAACCAGTGGCCTGATTTTCAGGCACTAATCACCTATAACTGCAGCTGAAGCAGACTCTTGTCTGAGAGTCTGGGACCAACTCAAACTAAAGGTACAGAAATTCAGTCATAAAAAGCTGAATAACTTAAAAGAGGGAAGGATATTCTACATAATTTAATCTTTTCACAGCAGAATAGACACATACGTGCTCAAAAAGATCACTGATGAATTTTATACTTTCCTTTTCTGCTAAAGGCAATAGATACACAGGGAAAGCAATATTGTGATCAACTTTTTTTTGAAAGCAGCAGTACCTACCTTTCCCCCGCCTCCCCCAGGCATCTGTATTTGCTTGGAAAGTGTCATGCAACCAGCTAACTGGGCTGGCAAGGAACACTAGATGTGTGTAAAAGATCCAGGCTTATCTATTCAAGCTTTCACTGGCTTTTTGGAATATAGGAATGTTTGGATATTCTGCAATGAAATATTGTCTGTCAACAGCAACCAGAATACAAGATTTGTCTTATGTACCCTTCCTTTTACAATACTGCATTTGCAAAGATTGATGAAAAGGCCTTCGTTGTGGGCTTCTGTTTTTCAAGTCTCCAGTACAAACTCTCTCCATACATTTTATGGGTTTTTCCTGGCAAAAAGTATCATTAACAGGCCCATATGATGCCTTGTGGATCTCTCCCTCTTCCCTTTTTGTTTTTCCCCCCCCTTGTCTTCTTTTTTCCTTGTGAGAAGCGCCTTGTGGATCTCTCCCTCTTCCCTTTTTTTTTTTCCCCCCCCCTTGTCTTCTTTTTTCCTTGTGAGAAGCTAATACAATGAGCTGGACACAGTATGACTATATAGCACTAAAACACTAACACCAAAAGTTGGTCAGTAAAAATCAACTTTCCTTTAAAAGGACAAACAACACCGAAGTTACTTCATTTTTAAACAGCCCAAAGAGAAGCAGAACTGGGCAGGAATGGAAGTAGGTCACGTTTTTCTCCTGTTTTGTTATATACAGAACAGACATAGAAATCTGAAGGATTTTACTCTAATAAAAACAAGAGTTTTGGTTTGGTTATGATGGGAGAAAGGGGATTGCCTAAGTGCAAAGGTATTGAATCTTGTCTCCTGGAAGATCACTTAAAACAAAAAAAACCACAATAAACAAAAAAGCCCACCAAAAAACCCCAAACCAAACCAACATCAAACCTAAATAAAACAGCACACAGAGAAGATCTTCTTCCAGTTTTAGCTAATGGGGAGGCTGAACCTATAACAAAAAAATTTGTAGGAGTAGCAAGGAAGGAGGATGAGAGAGATGGACAGTCCCAACTACTTCCTGAATTTGGGGGAAGTTGTGAAGAAGTAGCACCAGTATCTGTTACGGTGGGCTTGTGGAGGTATTTTTTGGTTTAGGGTTTTTTTGGTTGGTTGGTTTTTTGTTGTTGTTGGTTTTGGTTTTTTCTTTTTTACATAGAGCTCACGAGCAAATAATAAACTGGCATGACTTAAACTTCATACAGTCCCACAAAACACTTTACAAGCAGCAATAAAACTGCTCAAAGTTTGGCCCATTTGCCAATAGCGAAAAAAAGGTCCAGCAAAATGCTTGAAACTGTAGGGAACACAAAACCTTCGCAGTTTATACTTTTATCATATTTGGAAGGCTGTTTTTATAACCACGGCAGTTCAAGTTTTGAAAGAGTATTTCAGACCTTCAGTCATGTAAAAAGTCTTTAATTCTCCACTGAAAAGCAAGCCCACAGATGTGCTTTGACATGTATGATTAACATTCTTTGCCCACAGCCACACTTGCTTCTCTTAAAATATTTTGTTGAAATGGTGTCACTTCCTTTTTCTGTGTATACTGTACCAATCTGGCTAAAACCGGCAAGCTTGTAAATGGGAACCTGGGTTTTCCAATGTGAATAAACAATTCTCAATTTAGATGTATTAAAACTTTTTCAGTTTTGTGAAATGGGACTGAAAAATTAATGCCTTTTAAAGCTGACTGAAAACAATGTGTATTGCCCCATTTGACTATACATCCTTGAAGACAAAAGGCTTCAGGAATCTGCTCTAAGAGACTTTACAATCTAAGCATCCTGCAAATTTCACCACAAGATCTGACTTTAAAACCAACTGGACTTTCCTTGAATAGATGTATTTATGAAATAAAAGCCTCAGAAAGTAAGCATAGCGATCTGAACAGAGCTTTTTTAAACCCAGGTCTTCCTGAAGTTTAAAAAACAAAAAAAAGTGATGTGGATGTCTTCCAATACTGAAGATCAAAACCATACTGTTTTCTCAAACTCCCAGAAACAAAGCTGGAGTTATTCACTGCATTCACTCGTTACTTATGTTTGCTTCTAAACAATTTAATGAAAGAGACCTGATCTCAAAATAGTTTCTACTAAGTGTTTGTTAAATAGGATTATTAACTCTTACAAATTGCATGTCATTTCCAAAGTACAGTGAAATAGCAGCTGCAGGGAAAAAAGTCGTCTCTGGGATAATAGGGCTATTTGCACCACATAGGATAAGCAGCACAAGTTTCATTAGCATTTGATAATTTGATTTAAATTAGAACTACATTTTTGAACAGCAAAGATTACCCAAAGACTGCTAATTTTAATCGGTTTCCTATGGATATTTGATAGGCATTCTGAAGGGCACAAAAACATAACACATAGCTATGTACATAAGCATTTCACTTGATGACAGATCAGTTCACAAATACCTGTCCAGAGAATTTACTTTTTACTACAAGATAATCTGAGACTGAAGACGCAGTTGTAGTCAGGTCACCATCAGCAGCAGTGAGCAGACCAAAAAACATGTGCGTGTACACACACAAAACAAACAAAACCCTGTAAACAGGTAATTTTTTTTTCCCCACAAGGATTTTCCTTATCCAAATTCCTTCATCTTTAACATAGGGACAACATTTTTTCAGTGACCATAAGCACTTTCACAGAGCACTACGTGTATAAGACTTATAGATCTCGCTGGTAACCCCCTATTCCATGGAAAGGAAAACTGAGACAATGAAGGCATGGGAGTTACCACAGCTGCATAAAATGCAAGTAATAAATGATGAAATTCAAACTCAGGTTTCCAGTTTCCTGTTCACTGAACCCTGAACACTTTGAAAAATATACATTCCAGTACACTTTCATAACAGCAACCACGTTCAATAAACCTTACATGTTAATTACCTAAGCATGGCTTGTCAAAATCATTAGTGGTTACTAACAGCTAGATAGTGTAAAACAGAATTGGTCTTTGTACCAGAACTAATTCAAACTAATTCTTCTGATCACACAGAAAAGCAGTAGTAACTCTGTTTCCTTACTTGGCAAGTACAAACCTAGATTAATTTCAATGGGTGCTGACTGCACAGAGAAACTTTAGATGAGACTGCCGTGATTCTTCCCTTGCACTCAAATGAGCACTCTGCATCAGTAAGAGTGATACAAATTAGTGAAAACTTTGGTGATTTCAAGTTACTATCCTAAGGACTTGCCAGAGGAAAAGGAAACAAATCTGTATAAATCTACAGTTTACTGGATCAAGACCAAAACAGCACTAAGGAAATATATAAACTCTTCAGAAAGTAGAGGAAATCACTGATGTAATATTTGAAGGGAAAAAACCCACCAAGGACTTTTGCCTCTTCTGAAGCTGTTCAAACAGAAGTAGAATAACTGTAATTTACAGTTCACTGTTTAATGTTATTCTATTACACCATCATCTCTTTAATGCTGATATAACAGCCATTTTCTCTGCAACATGAATGCATTAAATAAAGAAACAGAGTTGAAGTAAAAAGAGAACTGGTTTGAAGACATGCGTTTTTAGAAATGCCTGAATAATCTTTAGCCACTCCAACCTCCACATCCTTACCGGAACGTCAAAAGTTTCTTGAGTGTCATCCAGCATCTGAATTTTGATGGAGACGAGTTTTCCTGGAGGTGTCATAGGTGGTTTCTGTCCATGCTCCAAGGTACTGATCCCAGCATTTTCCTGAGCTCCTAATCGGGATCCTGCTGTTGGTCTCTGCTCTGTTTCACCCATGTTTAGAGAAACTCGTTTCTTCTATCTGATAAAAGAATAAGGGCAAAGAAGACCATATCACTGATTTATAAGGGTTGTTGCACATAAGCATTATGGCATATGTACTTACAGCTAATAAACCGTATGGCCATTAACACAAAGTAATAACCATTATGATTATTTTTTTAATGTATCATATGCAGACAAGAAAACCAGGCAAACTTTATACTTTTCAAAATACACAGGCTAATCGTCTCCTGGGTGTAAGGCTGACAGACTGGATACAGTACTGCACAGGTGGGAAGTATTCCTTTTCTCCTGGAAAAGGAAACAAGACCACGTTGGAAACAGAGCATGACAGAACCCAGACTTCAGTGAATTATGCCAATTTTTTTTATGTATTTGTGAATCAGGCTGTTAGCAGCCACAGCCAGGGCTCCCAGAGAAGGGAGGAAGGTGAGGAGAGCAGGTGGGACAACTCACCACTTGCCAACTATCATTCCGTCCAGGGCATATCAGCATTTTTTTCCTTTGGTCCTTCCAGCCTGCTCCAGCCTTTTGCAGCTGCCACCTTGCTTAGGAGTCTGCAAAGCAGGAAAGCCAAAGAGGTGCAAGATGACCCCAATTACATGGCCTAAATATTTTGTTTCCTTTGGGGACCAGAGCTGCTCCAGAACCTGAAACCTGGCCTGATCCCACTGATGGGTCAAGAGCTATGAGGACGTGCTACTGAAAAGTCCAGAAGAAGCCAGAACAAAAACACTGGTTGGGAAAAGCAAGGGAAACCTAATTTCCCACGCAGCCCTGTAAGCAGGAGGGGAACACCACGGAACACACCTTCCTTGCTGTGCTAGCCAAAGGCTACGCCTGCACCAGCTCACCTGCACCACTCACTGAACGCGGATGTCTGCTTCGTATGCATGGAAAGTAACCTCAGGATCTGGCTTGCTAATTTTGTTTCTGTGCAGCTTTCGCACAACATTACACAGCATATTTCTGCTAAGTAATTATTCTATCCTAAAAAGGGAGCAGAGCTCCAACAGCGATTGTGTGCTTTTTCATTGCCTGGCACAACTTTGAACCTTCTTTTTTAATTCAAGGACCATCAATTTTACTTGTCAAACATTACACATCATACTAGAATTTTATTTCACTTCCCCCCCCCCCCGCCTTTTGACGCTCTAGCTGGGTTTCTGATGAAACCTGCTGCTACTGTCTATTTATCTTTCTTGGTAATTGCATTTCCATTCTGCATGACTTTTATATGCTGATCAATGACCATTAAAAAAACATGTAGCACACAGAATGGAAATGTAACTTTCCAGCTGAACAGAGGCACAAGAAGAGTACTGCCAATCTTTGTCTGGCTTTTACTCTGAGGTTACAAATACTAAGAAGCCTATGGAAAAATAGGAAGCACAAGATATCCTATGTATTAGTGAATCCACTACAAAATACTATAAAGAACAGTGCCATGTAATAAGATACCAATTCCCTCCATGAGGACAGAATAAAAACAGTCCTGTCTTCGACAGGATATGCTATTTACTACATACCATTTTTCCATGTCCTGACTAATTTCTTCCCACAGGTTTTTCACATAGCAAGTGGCGTGGAGTAAAAATTTTTTAAAAAGCAGTTTGATTAAAAGAAAAAAAAAGAAAAAAGTGTTAGCTAGGAAGGAAGGGAATGAAAAATTAGGCATCACTTACTTCTATGTATCAGCTCAACAGGCACAAGTGAAGGAGAACAAAAAAGCCACACACAAACTTCTGCAATGAACCAGCACTATCCTACCCCACAGGGCTGGAGATGCTAGTGAAACCTATCCAAGTGCATGCCAAATGCTAGAGAGGCAAATTTTTCCTCAATTGGCACTGTAATCTAAAACATTAAGAGACTAATTTAAAAGAATAAAATAAATCACAGAATCACAGAATGGCAGGGGTTGGAAGGGACCTCGGGAGATCATCCAGTCCTACCCTCCTACTAAAGCAGGCTCACCTAGAGCAGGTTGCACAGGACATCGTCCAGGCAGGTTTTGAATATCTCCAGAGAAGGAGACTCCACAGCCCCCCTGGGCAGCCTGTTCCAGTGCTCTGTCACCCTCAAAGTAAAGAAGTTCTTCCTCATATGCAACTGAAACTCTTATGCTTCAGTTTGCACCCATTGCCCCTTGTCCTGTTGCTGGGCACCACTGAGAAAAGTCTGGCTCCATCCTCATGACATCCACCCTTGAGATATTTGTATGTGTTGATGAGATCCCCTCTCAGTCTTCTCTTCTTCAGGCTGAACAAGCCCAGCTCCCTCAGCCTTTCCTCATAGGGGAGATGCTCCAGTCCCCTCATCATCTTTGTAGCCCTCCTCTGGACTCTTTCTAGGAGTTCCTCACCTTTCTTGAACCAGGGGAGCCCAGAACTGGACACAGTACTCCAGGTGGGGTCTCACCAGGGCAGAGTAGAGGGGGAGAATAACCTCCCTCGACCTGCTGGCCACACTCCTTAATTCAGTGTAATTGAATTAAATTAAAACCTTTTTATGAGGCAAGAAGTACCAACAAGAAAGCTGCAGCTGGAGGCAGGAATTTCTGAAGAAAAGACATCAAGCTCTCTCTAGCTAGACTCCAGGCCTACTTACAAATAAATCTGGTTTTCATGCATGTGAAGTGACATTTAAAAAGGTAACACATGCACCCTGTCTGGAAGAGCCACTGCACACTGGTCCACGTCCTTACTAATTCAAGAGTTTTTGTAAGAGCTCTTCTGAAGTCACCATATACCACAGACAGCACCAACACAGCAGGAAGGACCTCTACAATTCTTGTGTTACTCTGGTAGGTTTTGGCTAGGCACAGACAGTTAAAGCGGATGAAGAAGAAAGCTGTTCTTGCCATTAAATCCTAATACACAGGAATCATTCCAGTCAGTTCAAGCGATACCATTAAATAATCAACGCGAGGAAATATTACAGAGCTTAAGCCTTTCTATAAATGTTCTCCTGACTAGCTGATCTAGTGGCCCACACACACATTCAGACAGGCCAATAAACTTAGTGAAACAAGGAAAAAAGACCCAAATTTAGGAGCCAAAAAAAATCATGGAGGAAAGGTACAAGCCAAACCACTCCATATGTACAGCTGAGAAGTTTTTTATTATTAATAACAGTTAGTAATACAGAAACTCCTGTAATGTATGTATTGAACCATTCAGTCACACACACGCGCTCCCCTCTGGAATCAAATATCTGAGAAGTATTGGCCACCCTGATCGCATGCATCTGCTATGTAAACAATTAAAAGCAGACCTTTCCTTTTTTTAATCTGTATGTATAGCTAAACATCACCACGCTGCATTGGACATTATTTAAGGTTTTTTTCTGTATGCACTAGTCTCACTCACTATGGTGCTGTCATAACATTGGCATAGTACCTTTATTATGCCTTTATGTAAAAGACGCCCCAAAAAATTATTACAATTACCCTCTCTAAAATAATGCAGCACATCAGTCAAGCTGTAGACCTCTCTCGCTTTGATCTAGAAAACCAAGAAGGTCGGTCACAGAATGCAACAGAAGAGTATTAAACAAATATTAAGCAAACCTGGAGGGATTAGGATGCCAAATGTCTGTCACGATGAGTAGAAGGATCAATTTTGGACAGAAGATGAAGAATTTTCAAGGCACTCTAATAGAACAAAAACATTGATGAATTGGAGAAGGCATTAATGGGGAAGAAAAAGCAGTGGCCACCAGAATCCACACAGCTCTAAGCAAAATATAGTGGAGGCAGACATCTGGTATGGGAGCTAAGAGAGTAGCAAATAAAAAGAACACATCTTAACTCTGAAAATTAAGAGTTTCTGCCTGCTCTTTTCAACAGTTGGTGAATCCCAGGGCCAAAATCACATATACTGTTTCTGCTGCAGATTTGCTGGGTGTCTGTGCCCTTCTCAGTAGCGCTGTACCATCTGCAAAGACGGAGAGAGACTGGCTGCAGAGAGCTCACCTGCATCCCAACCCGTGCAAGGGCAGAAGTTACCCAAGACGGCTGTGCTGCCCACAGAGGAGCTTTGGACCCTCCTGCTCCTTCCCTGCCTCTCACCTTCCTCAGACCATTTGCTGAGCACCTTGCTGACCCAAACCCCCCCAACTTCATGTACATTCTCTGCTGGGTTAACAAATTAAATCAGCTCTCAAGTAAGCTGGCAAAGCTAAGGCCGGGTTGAGCAAAGCCCAGCCTGCTGCTGGCAGGCCACTAGACTGACTCAAGCCTTCTCACCTAACTCTACCTAGAACAGCTGGAAGGCACAAAAAGCTACAACTGCCATTAGATAAATTAGTAAATGTGGTTTTGTCCTAATCACATCTTAACAATCCCTTTACACAGATACTACACGCTTAGATGAAAATTTTAAGTGATGTATATACTTGTGCAGTAGCTGGACAAAGGCCACAGTGGTTCAGCATAAAGCCATTTTAGTTCTCTGTGTTCAAAACAGGCACATTTTATAGCATTGGAAAGGTTCAGGCCAATTAAAGTTTCCATGTATTTTTCTTTGGCAGGATGAACAAACAATCAAACTGACTTAGTCTAAAGGGAGCTACAAGTATAAACAGCAATTGGGGGGGGGGGCAGCGCAGAGATTGGATATGGGAATAAAAGATTTAATTTAAAAATTACAAAATACTGAGGAAAAGAGAAGTAACAAGCCTCTGTCAGAAAAATGAGCAGAGCTCATGTTGGAACAGATGCTGATCTGATCTGTTAACTACTCTGCTCTTCTAGATCAGGCAATGAGGTTTAGGCATTTGATGCAAGAGGTTCCCAAAGTCTGAAGACTCCTGTTTCAGGGGGAGAATGGTACCACATATCTAGGCCTTTCCCACTTCTTTTGTTTTGCTTAAACACATTTTCACAGCCCGAAGCAGGAAGCAGCACGCTATGCACACTACTCCTCTTGAAGGTGGGGAAGCCTGCGGCAGCGTGGGATGATGTGGCTGCCCTGCAAAGTCACTGAGCAGAC